AAATATGCAGTTTACTGGCCAGAAGGCGGAGCAGCCAGCCAGTACAGCGTGTTTATTGGCCATAAAATGTCATTGACTGGCTAGGAAAATGGTGGCCAACATGCGTAATGCGACATGCGCGAGGACAGAAACTTCAAAGCTTCCGACGTAAGTTGCCCTTCTATGTGGATCTTTATTCTATGCTTTTAAGAGACAAACAAAGTTTAGTATTATTGTAATGTATTTTTTCATTTGGCTCGAATACAAAAAAGTAATTTCCTTCTCTGCCCTTGTCGTTTTCGGTTGCCAAACCCACCAACAAGTCTTTTCATAACAGACACATGCTTCGATGACTAAAAAACCTAAAAATTCATAAATGAAATATTGCAGACAAATCAGAGCTTTAGGCTAGCTAATTAGCTAGCTTTCGCAACATTAGCGAACGACGTATAAATGTTCCCAAAGGCAATTTAAACCAATGCATGATCAATGCTTTTAGCAGTAACCAATCATAACGAACCTTTCGTATGGCCTAACCAATCGAAGCTCGTTAAAATCTGACAATAAGAATCAACGGCCTGATTCGTTTGCGTGGCAAATTTGACCATGCATGTGGTCGCTATTTTCCCAAGATCTCGAAGGAAAGAAGAGCGAAATTTGAACTCCTAGTACGAAATGGTTGTGTCGTGCTAAAGTACATGTAAGTGAAAGCCATACATATTAGTTGTAGAGCTGTTTAATTTAATTCGCATTTGTTATTGCTTCATTCAATAATCAGTATTAAAAGCGTGCCTTGATCTCATGCATACAATTACTTAGCTGGCCATAAGAATTTCTGTTTGCTTTATATGCTTCAATTCCTTGATACTATTGCCTACATTTCCTACAATACTGTTTTAAAGTACCAACAGTTTAATTTGCAATCTCATAGTTGCCTTATCTTCAACTGTTTTAGCTCACAAAATTTGATGAGAAAGTTGATCTAAGTTGTAGAGCTGTCAAAGACACGCGCCGGTAAGCATATTGTCTTTATAAATGTTGTTTGTTGTGTGTCGCTCGGTTTTTAAGCTTCTCCTTCCAATAAGAAGCTTTAATTGAACTCGCGAAACTTACAATGCTAAATGAGAACGAAACAAAAGACATTACAACAAAGGCGAGTTAGATATGGGATCGGCGAACGGACTCGAAGTCCCAACAAGGCAACTACCCCGCACATAAATTATAACTAGAAATTTACACTAATAAGAAAACACAAAACTTCAATAAATGTTCTCTAATACCACTGAACAGACAGCCCAGTCTCTCGCTCAGGTTGACTGCACATACCAACGGCCACTTGAAACAAATAATTGATGGAAAATATTTCGGAAAATAATCTTAACCCATGCGCTATAGTACTAACCCTAATTCTGGTTTTAAGATAAGGATGCATATTGTACAGTCAATCTGAGGAAGAGACCGGGATGGTACAGTGTAGCATTCTCCTCAGTAACACACCTTCGCTGCTTATTAACTAACAACAGGAAGGGCTGCCAATAGACCTACAAGAAGGACATATTGTCTTCCACGTACTTAATCTGTCCGTATCAAAAACGTTCCGTAACTTTATAAAATAATGTTTATATAAACGAGATTTAAACGCACTAATGGAAGATGATTTGCGAATTTCAAGTGGTAGATTATTCCAAAGCTTTACAACATGATTGAAGGAGTCTATAAATAATGAAGTACGGAGACGGTGTACTGGATACAGATTTAAACTATCAGTAGAGCTCCTGGTGCGACCACTTGAGACATGCCGTAATCTTCAAGCTGTACATTAAATGAACCGCTCATATACTTGTAAACACAGCATAAGTCACGACACTCCAACCAGTAGGAAATAGGAAGCAGCTGGTTGAGAGTAATCAAGCGGGACTTGTAGTTGGGTCGGACATGATGATCGTTGCTGCAGTTGAGGTGAAACGCGTAGCTCGCCTCTGCACAGTCTCCAATAGTTTTAAGTCCGTTCTGCATGACTGAGGAGCCCAGATTTCGCTAGCAGAACTGAGGTGGGAGCGCACCAGTGATTAGTACATCGACCTTCTGTGGGCAGGCCCAGTTAAGGAAACGCCGAAGTGTCGTCGTAGGAAGCCAAGTGTCTAGTTTGCTTTGGCAACAACAGAAGAAATTTGGAGGTCCCGCGTTAGCTTGTTGTTAACTAAGACCCCCAAGTCTTTTGATGAGGGAACGACAGCGAGTGGCTGGTCATTGATGGTGTAGGGATTGACGGTAGGGGATTCCAGCATACTACTTCGCTTTCTAGATATTCTTAATACTTCGCATTTGTTCTTGTTAAAATAAAGTCCCCAATCTTGAGACCATATGGAACGATAACACTTTGTGGAATTGTTGAAGTTCACAGGGCATTTTGAGTTAGTTTTAGTGATTTAATCGAGTTTCCAACGGAATTTTCCCACCGAAAGGCGAATACGAGCGAGAATCCACATCATACACATCTTTTAAAAGGCTCAATTAAGTTTAAGACGTTTTAATTAACTAAATGATTGTGCTGGAGTCAGCAATTAAGACCGAGCATTCAAGATTTACTGATTAACGAGCATTTTGTCTTTTTAGTTTACTGTTGATTTTGAAATGAAAAGTTGATACGAATTATATGAAGCCCTTTTAAATGCTTTGAGTTTGTCAAACTTGAGTTGTACAGTAGTACTAAGTATAAGATTACATTTGTACTGTTCCTATAATTAGACATCTCTGAGTTAATTGCATTTTGGATGCAACAAACGCTCGTGAGTTCGTCAAATCGATTGAATTTTATACACATTAATAAAGGAGCTGGGCGGATAGGGACAAAGCCTATAATACGGACAAATATCAGTCAAGTCAGACCCTCTAATCACTAACCGAAGTTTCTTATAGACGTTTTGGATATCGTTGTGCAGTTTTGTCAGCTTCCTGACAATGACAATGACACTTACAGTTCCTTTCCTATATTTTACAGATTATTCAAAATGCTTCGGTTACAATTAAGATGACCATTCATATATTACATCTGACGGCGAGATATTCAGAACAACAAACCAAAAAAGCTGATCAATGAAGCATGCAGTTACTAGGTTCAGAAGATAGAAATGGACATCTGCTTAGGAAAAAAACAATTGGAGTAATTGTATGACAGCATTGACGTGGAAACCATAAGATACTCAGAACAACAGAAGAAGGGAGATCAATGAACGAGTATAAGATCAGAGCATGGATGTGGACATACGTTTAGAATGGAAAATGACAATAATTGTGTAACACCAATGACGTGAAAACGAGAAGGGCGAAGGAACGTGCAACGTCAAAGAACTACACGGAAAAAAACTGTAGAGAAAGAAAATGGTTGGAGATCTTGAAACAAAGCCAAACGTGTAGCCAGATCGAACAGCGGGAGCTGTAGAAATGTACCGCAGCGTAATGGACAACGCAGCCGAAGAAGATAGGTAAGACGTCCTAATTAAGTCCAGTTTCTTAGTAATAATACTTGCATGGCGTATAAAGAAGGTTATCCAATTTGTAGTGCTTTTTTGTGTTAAAATATTGAATTCACAAATATAATTTTTTCCATGCAAGTATACACCAAATACAAGTCGATTCGAAACTACCAGTCGGGGCTAGACTGCGGTTTAGCACGTTTTGGTGGCACGAGCAAAATGAAAAAACCCATTTAATGTTTAGATAAGGCCGGTTAGCGTTGGGGTTGGAAAGAGAGTTATTTCATGCCAAAACATGTACTTATTAAACCAGCCAGCTGTATTTATCGATGTCCACTGGTCACCTCCAAACAACAGTACTAACTTTACCGGGTAAATATCCCATATAGGTGATGTGCAACCACTCCCTTGGGATTCAAAGAATTACAAAGCGATTTTCGCCATGTTGGATAAAATTTACTTTGAAAAACAAGCAAAATCCTTTGTCAAAGTCACCAACATGGCGACGGTGTTCGCCTGCGAGCCTGGAAAAAGTGAGGCGGAATATCACCAAACTTTGATTTGTGACCAGTCTTTCGTCTGTGTGGCTTTATCCAGCGTTTTGGTCTTTGCCATTTAATGAAAGTTTGCGATTTCAGCACAAACGTATTTAAAAACTATACGTTTTTGAAGCTTAATTTTTTAAAGATTTTTGAGGATTTTCAAATCCTTCCGTTGCTCATAAAAATATGTAAAAATATTAAATCAAATTCCTCATTTGTGGTGTCCGATGGAATCCCTAATGTAATGGATATAAATGGATTAATTTCGATTAACCAGTGTGGATTATAACGGTCGGCAATCGGCCATTTGCTGAACAAAAACAACAAATGGCCGATCAACTTTATTCTGGTCGGACATTTTGACCGATGAAATATATACAAAGATTCCATTACTAAAATTCGATTACGAAGACCCAATCAAAGTGCTCGGAGGCCGTACGCTTCCCGAAGACCCAGAACGGATGAAGAAGAATCGGAAAGTGAACTATCTTTTTCACTAAGTGACTGGGATACTTGGTTTGGCAACAGTGATGAGTCAGACGAATGAATTCAAACAATATAATCGAACATTAAATTCTTAAAAGTAGAACCTGTTGTGTTTATGCACAGTACTTTACACAAACACGTTTATGTTCCAGCCGTTATGTTCTGTCTCCTATATAAAGAGTTAAGATTGGCCATTTCACTTATGCATACAGTTACGCCTCTTTTACTGTACACGAGCAATATTTTCTTTGCTAAGGTTAGCTGTCAAGCTGTGACAAGTTTTATTTGCCTGTGTGTATGGAGAAATGTTGCAAGTACGTTTTTCTTTGACAAGTTTATTTGTTGCCATATTTCTCCATCACATACCGGCAAATAAAACTTGTTAAAGTAAAACTTGGCAAAGAAAATTTGCTCGTATAGACGATCTAGGCTTTAAGGCCTATACCGTCACCGATAGGCGAGGAACTCTGCTTCTGATTTAAATTTTCTACCATGTTTTGTAGCGAAATGTTCTAATATAAAAATTAACAGTTTTATTAAGATTTAAAACTCGCGCCGGCGCCGCGTCCTCGAATCGAGTGTGGTGTGTCTGTGTGTGGCAGCGTACATTTGTTCTAACTTTGTAGCTTTCTATATAGGACATTTCCATGTAAATAGAGATGTATGACGTTGGTGATTTCATGTTTTGTATTAACTTTCATCGATATAAATGTTTCTAAAGTTATCTCATGCAGTATAGTGTAAAAAAATATTAAGAAAGTTGGCCGACCATTCTTGGCAAATGTCCGACCAACTGACCAGTTGATCGGACATTTGTCCGACCAAAGCGAAATCGTTATAACCCACACTGCGATTAACATTGACAGCAATCAACATCTATGGATATAGAGCTGCAAAAAGGTTAAAGAAAAGACGACTTTCAGGTGCAGATTATTAGTTGTTAGCCTGCGAACAGGCATTATGTAATTCGTACCCAAGACTGTAATTGTGTGTGCATGGTCATTGTGTCAGTCTCTGGGTTCAATCACTCGGACAAATACTTCGGAAAAAACCTGGCGGTCTGATTCAGTATATTTTCGCATTCGATCGATTTCCTGTAATTCAGAGTTTGCATGAATAAAAATAGACTTTAAAATATACTTTAAAAAACGATTAAATTGTGGTTTAAAATTCCTTTAGTCTCTGAAAAACGATAGTACCCGTAAGAAGACATGGTGGAAATCGTGGTGGACGTTTCATCTCAAGAACTTACGTGAAGACTACAATGACGGTTGAAATGTGCGGTTTTCAAACATGCTCTCCCGTAGGAAGGTAAAAGCATGCAAATTCCTAGTAGCAGGTCTTACTTCATGAAAATAGTCCGCTACCAGTGACTAGGTTCTCTCTCTTGTGCTGACTATGGTGGTTCAAAGTATTAAATAGAAAACAAGGTATTACAAATCTTTACCCCTGTTTGTGGTGGCTCATAGGTGCGACACGCGCTAGGTTAATTTAAGATAAGGGCATGAGCGAGACACTACATTCAGGGGTATTCATTTTCACGGCGGTTGCGCTGCTGCTGCCGCGAGTTTAATTTCGTGTCTTATAGGCACTAGATATGCAAACGTGAGAAAGTAAACGACATTGATTGATGCCTGGACCTAAAACCATCTCGAGTTGCTCTTAAGCCTGTTTTCCACTAGGCGGAATTTTGCGCGCGGAGCGGAATTTTTCTTTGTCTTTTCTAATTAGTTCCACCCGATAATAAAATAGAACATAGTCAAATACATAATGAAACAGAAATGGGTAGCGATTTTTCGGATAAAATTAATTGTCTTCCCAATCAGCGTGGATTTAAAATGGCTTTTTTAAATATAGTAAGCTTGCCAAAAAGATTTGATGAAATTAACTTAACTATGTCAAACAAATTACTCGATATAATGTCATTTAGTGAGACCAGACTTAATTCAACCATAACTGATGGTATGATTCATATAGATGGGTATGACATTATAAGAAAAGATAGGTCTAGAAATGGTGGTGGTGTTTGCATTTATCTACGTAATTCTATAAACTACCAAATCAGACAAGATCTTATACCAGCCGATCTAGAAGCTATATGCATAGAGATAACTAAACCGCATAGCAGACCATTTGTGGTTGTTACGGTTTATAGACCCCCAGATGCTTCATCGAATTTTTTTATCCATCTTGAAAACCTATTAAAAAAGATTGATAATGAAAACAAGGAAATCTATATACTGGGTGATCTTAACTGCGACCTTTTTAAGTCTATTCCTGACCATCCAACTAAGACACTTAAATCTTTACTCGAAATTTATCAATTATCCCAGATAATTGATAAAGCCACACGGATCACTAGGACATCCTCCACACTTATTGATCATTTTATTACCAATGAACCAGGAAAAATATCCAAATGTGGTGTAATACATACTGGAATTAGTGACCACAGTCTCATTTATGGCATAAGAAAGATTAACATTCGACACAAAGATAATGATAACATAATTGAAATTAGAAATATGAAAAAATTCAATGAACAGCAGTTTTTACAAGACCTAGGAACTCAAACATGGGAACATGTCTATTTTTTGCAGACAATCCTGACACTATGTGGGAAATTTGGAAACAACTTTTCTTACAAGTCCTAGATAAACATGCCCCAATTCAAAACAAAAAAACAAAATCTAAAAAAAATCCTTGGATTACTAGTCATATAAAAAAACTAATAATTGCAAGAGATAATTTGAAAAGAAAAGCAATTATCACTAAACTTGAAACAGATTGGGATAACTATAAAAAAGCCAGAAATAAAACAAACAATCTTCTAAGACAAACCAAAAAGGAATATTATTCCAATAAAATAGCGACTGAAAAGCAAGATCCAAAAGCTGCTTGGAAGACAATTAAACCTTATTTGGTAAACAAAATCAAAGAACTAAAGTAAACGAATTAAACTTAAATGGCATAAAATTAACAAGCCCTGATGAAATTTCTGAGGGCTTCAATACCTTCTTTTCAAATATTGGACCGAATTTAGCCGAAGAAATTAGTACACCAGGATGTCATTCTAAAGACTTCCTTGACAAAACTAATTCTGAATTTACTGCATTCCAGTAAGTTACTGTTAGTCATGTTTGTCTTTTATTACGTGAACTGTCTGGTAGCAAAGCTACTGGCCTGGATAAAATATCCAGCAAGATAATCAAAATTGCTGCACCATTAATTTCCGATTCATTGACTTACATCTTTAATCAAGCAATAACTTTATGTACTTTTCCACATGAATGGAAAATTGCAAGGGTAATCCCCCTTTTTAAGAATGGCAAACGAAACTTGCCAGGAAATTATCGACCAATTTCTGTGTTGCCAGCCATTAGTAAAATTATGGAACGTATCCTATATACTCAACTTTATGAGTATTTGAGTGCAAATAACATACTTTCTGAACATCAATTTGGTTTCAGAAAATTTCATTCAACTGCAACAGCTTTACTTGATTGCACAAATGATTGGTACATAAACATGGATAGAAAACTTTTTAATTTGGTTGTATTTGTAGACTTAAAAAAAGCCTTTGATACTGTTGACCATGAGATCTTATTGCAAAAACTAAAACTAGTTGGAATCACAGGAAGTGCATTTCTATTACTCAAATCATACTTAACTGGTCGTACTCAAAGATGTGAAGTCAATGGATCTATTTCAGGGGAAAACGACGTCAAATGTGGTGTACCCCAGGGGTCTATATTGGGGCCACTATTCTTCTTACTCTATATTAATGATCTACCTGCATGTCTGAGTAAAACAAAACCACGGCTGTTTGCTGATGATACAAATATCACAGCAGCTGGAGAATGCTTAAGTGATCTTGAAGATGCAGTAAACTCAGATTTAGAAATGCTTCGTAAATGGCTCATGGCAAACAAATTGAGCTTGAATGTGGCGAAAACTGAATTTCAAATTATTGGTACTAAACAGATGCTGAAGAAAGCTTCTGTTCAGCAACTTAAAATTCACATTCAAAACATACCCATAAAGCAGGTTTTTCAATGTAAAACACTAGGTGTGACTGTTGATGAAAATTTGTGTTGGAAGAGCAATACAGATAATATATGTAAAAAGATATCATCTGGAATATACGCTCTTAAAAGCATTAAAGAATATGTTGATCAAAAAACACTCGTTTCCGTATACAATGCTATAATTCAACCAT